TATGCGCAAATACTTTACTTTCTCTTTCGAGCCGTTGTTGTCACACACCATAAGGCGGAAGCGGTTTAGGGGCTTTTTTTCAGCATTTGATCCATTTATCCTGTGAAAACGAAATGACATGTTCGTGATACAACATTCGAGGTCATATTTTTAAAATAAGGAGAAATTTATTTTACGAAGGATGGGAAATGTGATAATATTCAAAACATTTGATTCAACTCGCCTAGTAGGTAGTCTAGGTATGCGAATGCTTATGAATAAAGATTCTACTTGCAATTCGTACGGGACTCAGTTTATTTGTAACAGAAGCAAAAGAATTTAGATTCTTTTTGGCATTTGATCAATTTATCCTGTGAAAACGAAATGACATGTTCGTGATACAACATTCGAAATATTCAAAACATTTGAATTAACTGTAGTCTAGGTGTGTGCGAATGCTGATGGATAAATCTTCTAGTTGGAATTCGCACGGGACTCAGTTTATTTCTAACAGAAGCTAAAGAATCGCATTTGTCATCAGGGGAAAAGAGGGTATTGGTTAAATCTGTGACATTATTAAAACCGCGCAACACACTGGCGGAGCGAAATGGAAACAAATATACATGTAAGACACGCATGAAAAAGCTTGGTACATACTGCAATATTCACGCTTGTGGTAAACAACTCGGATGAATTGCAAATAGCAAGTCGGCGAACGACGCTTCCTTTTTCTTAACTATCTATTACTATTAACTATTGGTTACTAAATGCTGCCAATTCGATACAACAACGATAAATTTAAGTTCAGAGGAAGCAATGACTGAAGTCATGGGGGAATTAATTTAGCTTGATTACTCATTGTTAGAAGAAGCGCGAATGGCCGAACAAAAATTCATTTATGAGTAACGTAGAAAAATATAAGGGGTATTTTTCTCGGAAAAAAGACGGATCTAAATTTCATTTACGGTCAGAACTTCGAAAAAAAGAGGGAAAAAAATATCGATGTACTTTTTCCTATAAGATCTATATTTGATTATTTGATAGAATATATATCTTTTGAACTTTTAGTTTATTTGAGGAAAAGGTTAGTTTACAAGTGTCGCAAAGAAAATAGTTGCAAAACAGAGAAGAACTGCAAATATCGTACACTTAAGTAATTATTGCACGCTTCATGTTGTCTAATCTTTTTTTGAAACATTGTTTATCAGACAACAAGGTGTTGATCGTCATCGGTGGCGATGATGAATACAAACAAGATGAAGACGAGGAAAGACAGGTTGTTATCTCACGCTGGGCACGAAGGAAAGTGGAGTCACAGTTTGATGAAGAGTATCTCGATGGAAGAAAGAGCTTCATTTTTCTTGGAATAAGACTCATAGAAAAATCCACGAAGAGGCGCTATTGCATTACTTTGATCCAAGCAAAAATGGGGAAAAGTTCCAATACCAACCAAAACTGAAACAAAAACAAGAACCAACAACTCACTACGACGAGGTATGACTTAATTAAGCGACATTCACTAATGGTGAGTTATGGAAAAATGTTTTAGACACTCTCTGAAACCAATGAAATAAGCCAGGTTTGTTCAGATATTATAATCTCGATATTTGGTTGGTGAGAAATGAATTAGTGCGATGTTCCTATACTAGAATAGTTGAGATATAAAATTTCAACTACGTTTGCAAATGTTTACGCTGGACCAAAATGTCACTGATAACGCCGTCAAAACAAAAAAGCGTCCTTGAATGTCCTGAAAGAAAACTGAATAGTGAAAAAAAAAATACAAATAATTATGATAACGGTAACGAGGATGATAGGTATAGTAACAATTATAACACAAATTTCTTGGTCATGCAATATTGTTCTCTATTATCAAAGCTATAGTATTGTGCTTTGTGCTAGTAAGGCTCAGAGGTATAAAATGGTAATTGAACTTAGTGGAGTGCAAGTTGAACTGAAATCATATGCGTGATCGGCATGATTGCAAAACGGAACTAGCGCGCAGCACGAGTTTGATTTGAAATCACAAGTATGATTTCAGGCCAAAGTTACACGACATAAGTCCAATCATCACTTTGTTACATTCTATTTTGAAATTACAATTTTTAAGCGCCAAAACTGATACAGGACTTAAGTCAGTACAAATTCTTCATTATCATTCATTTTTTCTTTCTTTGTCCCAAGCTCGTGACAGGATGAAAACACCTTTCCCTTTTTCTTTAACGAGCTCAAAACTAACCATCTCTTTTATTCTATTGACTACATCGTCGTTATTCAAATGCTGTTAGAAAGAGAATTAATCCGTTTTTGGCAAAAAGAGGAATTCTCCACCCAATGGCCTATTTGTCTTCCGTTTCCCTGCAATTTGATCGGTTATACGTAAAAAAAGCCATGACATGTGATTGGTTATTTTGGTTTTAATGTTACTTTTTCATCGGTTGGGGAGATGTTTTTAGAGGAAAACAGTGCGAATTGAGAATATACTGCATTACTGAGAGCCAATTAGTTTACAAGCATCACCAGAAATTTCAAAATGCATGTATTAAATTATGTGGAGTGCAAGTTGTAAGAAGGCTAAGAGAGATGTTATATACACGGCATCTGGTCATTCATATTGCAGGCACCGCTTGGAGATAGCAAGGAAACACCTTTTCCAAGAGGAAATGCAAGGCAGGAAAAACCCTCCGTTGAGGTATGAGATTACCAAGGCTAGCCCACCAAGGTTAACCCACTTACAGAATTAGCGCCAAACGACTTAAAACCAAACAAAAAGATTTCTCCATTTGGTGAAAGTTTAAAGAAAAAGTGTATGTTTGTCTTCATATGCATGTTCGGGTCGAAAGGAAATGTCTGGAGATTGAATCAGACACACACCAAATCTTAGGAAAAGATAACTACAATTTAAAGTACAATTCGCCCAAGTGGGAAGCAGGGATATCAGAAGTTTACGTGAGAGGAATAAATAGGGGCCGTAATTTGATATGGTTTACATCAAACAATCTGGTATGGCCAAACGAGAATGGAGTCCTTGAACCACAAAACTTAGTTTAGAAAGTAAGATTGAGCTTTATAAATACAAGGGAAATGATATGAATGGTTGAATGAGTGGAATGAAAACTGGGCTTTTATCTTGCAGCCGAAATTTGTAGGCGAGAAACATCATTATGAAGGAAATGAAGCAAGTGAAAGGACAGGAATGAACGAAACTAGTGAGTTAAGACGTTCCCAAAATCAACCTTATTATGGAGGTAATAGCGTTAGTTTGCTAACTTTCCGTTGAGAATGGAACTACTTTTATTTTCCCGAGTTTTCCTGAACCCCATTCTAACATATCGAGTGTGGAATACTACAGGGTAGTTTAATAATATCAACTGAGTTGATAACGTAAATTGGCCACCGATGAGTTTCAAAGCTGACGTTTTGAGCGTTAGCCATTCGCTCTCGGACTAAGAGCTAACGCTAGAAACGTCAGATCAGATACTCTCTACGGTGGCAGATGAACGTTATCAACTCAGTTGATATATTTAACACTAAATTAGCCTATTATACTCTCCCATCGAAAGCAGCACCACAGTTTCTTTAGAAATTCAACCCTTAATTCGAATGTGGAATATTTTCTGATTTAATTCTCAGTTGTTATTGACCTGTCTTTGTTTATCAAAGCTGCAGCCGTGAGACGCGATCCTCATTACCCAGAGGGCATTGTACTCCTGGAGACGCGTTTGGTTCATGGCGAGATTTCATACAAAAAGTGGCACATTAGAAAACGACAGGGTGCATGGGAGCCTTCTGACTCACAAGTTTCGAATGTAAAAGCAGACAAGTCAGAAGGAAGTTTTTCAGTGCAGTTTAAGAGTAAAGGGAACGGTGGGGTTAGCTACGTTTTTATCCCCACACCTTGGTGGCGCAGATGTTTTGATTGCTTTAGGATGTGTTGTTGTTTTTGTAGTTGTTGTCATTAAAATCAGTAAGGAATTTGCGGCAAGGAAGGGTGTCCTCTCTTGACTTTCGATTTTCAGATCTTTACCACACTGTCAAATCAAGGAATCTGCTTGTTTTCGCCACCTGCTGTCGCTTGATAGCAAAACTTTGCAAGAGCTAATTCAGATTCCCTATACATCAGTCCCCGAAAGAATTGGACGTTCACCGAGTTATTTATCAGAAATCACCGAATATTTACGATTTCAATAGCCTTAGTACCTCCGAGCTCGGGCTTCAATGATTAATTAACTAAGTTTTAATTTCTCGGGTTTTTTTGTGTAGGTTTTTTTTTTTCTTTTTTGGTAAGGGAGTTTCTCCTCTAACTGTTACAAAACAACCGCTTTGATAAGAAGACAGCTTGATTGAAAGGTATTTACTCACAGGCTATCGGTGACCTCGGCAAAATTTATTTGACTTTGAGAAGAGGGGACAGTCAGAAGCACTAAATAACGCTCGATTGTTTTTTTTTTTTCTTTTATTACGAAGCTTTATGGGGAAAAAACGTTTTGGTTTACACTCGAAACGAAAGGAAAGCAACGAAGTATCTTATGTCCATTGAACAATAGGATTAAACAACCTGCAATTAAAAAATGCAGTACCATTAGATAACCTCTGAATGTTATGTTATGTCTGTTATGAGACTACTTTTAGATTAAACTGCTATGTTCTAAATTGTGGCAGGAATAAACATAGCTGTTGTGTGGAAATTTTCATCGGATGATATTGAACTGTTTAAAACTGCTCTGCAAAAGAAAAAGTTTATCAAAATATTTTCACCAAAGGGAAGGTCACCATACTCGCTTCAATGCTGACTTCATCATTTTCAACTGAGATGGAAAAAATAGCAATCTTTAGTTTGATTAAAGATACTTCACTTATAGCAACCAATAGCACTGTCGAGATAGAAGAAATGGCGTGAAATATCTCCTAGTATTGGTTGTATGGTATTCCAGAAGAAATTTTAAGTTTTATTTGGATTTAGGTTTGCAATTATGTGTAGGGTTCCAGGAAGTCACCTATTTTCTTGTTTGAGAAAACTCCTTTTCTTGGTTGAGACAGCTCCTTTCGGGGGTGGGGGGGGGGGGGGGTGGGAGAGACACTTGATTCGGTCTCGGAACGAAAAATGTTTACATACCAAAATAATAAACTGTGACGATAAATGGAAATTTATTGATGCACGCATTTCCGAAAAACTACTGAACTTTACTCTGTATTGATGTATTGAGGGCATGTAATCTCACACAACTACAGTTAGCAGTTACAGAGCCTTTTATTGCGATGAAAATTCGAACCTGGTTCTCCTTCAAGGCTATATATTTAAAAAATAGAGAAGCCTTGATTGTGCTCTGTTCTGTTGTAAAGCACGCAGGAAGCGGTTAGAGCACGAAAGAAGTGTAGGGAGAATATATAATAAAGAATCCATTCAATTCTCCACGCATTCTACTTTCACTTTTCAAAATCAATATTAATTCTAAAGCGAACCACAGTGTCGTCAGCATGCTCTATACTCTCCTAAAGCGCGCTATAATAAGCCAATCATAATCATCGTTAATATGGTTCAAATAATCTGATTGGCTGTACAAAACTAAAGCCGTCAAAAATTTCAAACCTTAAAGTTCACATTCTGCGGCAATTGTTTACAAACTTAAATAGTTTGGCAGGTCGAATCTAACACAGCAAATAATGACCTACAAATGGAGGAGAATTCAGAATTTTAGAGCTTTAAATAATTCAGTGGTTAGGTTTTAGAAAATTCAGTCAGAAATTAATTCCATGGCCAGGTACCAGTGCCCATGCACATGGCGTGAAATATCATAGACGAATGAGAATCTGCCGAAGGGGAATATTACTCCCAATCTTATAGAAGATATTAATACATGTATTTAACGAATTACTTCTCGGGTAGACTCCAAAGCTGTAAAACCGTAAGATCTTTCTCTCCTTCCAGTTGAACGTTAATTTGTTATGCGACGAGGACAAAATAAAACCCAGAAGACTTTAACCCATCATGTCCGGTAAAACCGCTCTCCATTTTACATTCGTTTGAACTCTTTTTCCAAGGTTATCTTAATACCAATCGATAGCGGCAATTCTGAATTAATGTCGTCCCATATTGCTCTGAGGGTTCTTACAGTGGTAATCCTCCTTTTCTTATTTAATTCTTTCATCAGAGCCCCCAATCTTCCTTGGTCAGTCCAGTGGTACTTATTCTTTAGGCGGGTTAAAAATTGGCCTAGGGTCTCCCCAAAGCTGGACGCCTCTAATTGACAATGGTGGAATAGCAAGTAAAACGGGAAAGGGAAAATAGAATATCTGGTAAGAACTGAAGCAAAAGACTTGGGGGAGGAGAGGAGGGGGTTTATAGGATTTTGAAAACGGAAAGGGGGTTGCAGAATTTTGAGAACGGAAGGGGGGGCGTGCAGGATTTTGAGAACGGAAGGGATTGGTCGTCTCTAAAAGAAAGAAAAGGGAGCACTAAAGAAATTGAATGCCAATAAGGGGGATCATAAGAAGAATAGAGATTTCCCCCTCAACACACTCACATAGAGAATAAATAATGACCGGTTCCTGAGATCAAGGGAGATGTAAAGCCAAGATGTAAGAGTCCTCTTAAGGGCTTCATTACAGACGAAGTCTTTCCAAAGCTATTGTTGGACTCGATAGATACTTTACATGTCATTTGGGGAAATAATGTCCACGAGAGAAATACACAAAACTGTTTTACTTTGGAATCTCAGGAAAGGGCAGTATTTAATTCCTGAGTAGGGAGGGAATGCCTCGAGAAAGGGATTGAGTCTGTTATTTGGTTCTTCTCTCTGCAAAATGTCCTACCTTTAGCCATAACTTCTCTGACCATCTAATTTTTTCCTCGTTGCTTCCGAACCAATATGAATTTCTCTGCGAAGAGCAACACGGAGTCAAGAATTTCAAGAGCTAAAAGATCCACTTCATTGGACTGCACAGCATTCCCGTTTGTATAATTTGCAATGAAATAAGTCCTCTCGCCGGAACTACCGGTCACCATAGATGCTTTGTCAAACTCTTCCTCTTTCTCCTCCTCAGTTCTTAGCTTGTCCAGAAAGGTAATCACAGTTACGGGAGCATAACCTGGAAAATGAAATGAAGGATAATCGGTGCCAAAAGACTATGACCGCCTAACGCGTGGAAAAAATCATTTTTACGGTGGTGTGAGGATTTTCTAAATTAATAACTTCTCTGTTCATCTCATTTTGTAATGCTGCTTCCGTGTCTATATAAACTTCTCCGCAAAAAGCAACACGAAGTCCAGAATTTCAAGAGCAAAAAGATCTACTTTAATGGGACTGCTCAGCCCTCTCGTGTATATAATTAGCAATAAAACAGGTCCTCTTGCTAGAAAGGTGATTGTTTACTGTAGAAGTTAACCCTGGTGTAGTGAGTGGTGTCAAGAGAACTTGGTGGTGTTTATTTATGGAAGCTACGACACGATCGATGTATCAGGAAAACTTATTTTGGATTTTTTCTTTGTTTTCAGTAGTAATTTGCGTTAATCTTTGCCGAGCTGTTTCTTCTTGAGTTATCATTGCCTATTTTGCCTTCTTCATCTAATAAAAGTAACAACGATGACGTAGTCTCAAATTATAGTTTGGCGTGTCTATAGTAACTACTAGAGAAATCGTCACATTGCCCCTTAAAATTGTTCTTCGCCGGTAATATATTACTAAGCCTTGTCATATTATTACCATCTTGTCGAAGGTGCCCTTTGATCATACGAAATATTTTTCTGTATTTTCCGTCAGACAAATACAGATCGTTCGCTTTCACAACGAAAATCACAGCATGTGCAAATCTAGCTAGTGATGGAGTTCTTCTGGCCGCTGTGCTCACCAGTCCTCCCTCATCTTCATTGTCATAATGCCCCGAGATTTCTTCTCCTGGTCGAATTCTTGTTTCAAAATAAAATTAAAAGAAACATGTGGTCATTCCTCCCAGAAATTATTAAAATGTAGCCTCTCTTTGGTCTTTAATTTTCATTTTTTAGTTTTTCTACCACGTGCCATGATTTACCATGCCACGTGATTTAGAGCATATTCAATAAATCTGATTGAAAGTAACTGATCTAGCGTGGGACATGGTTTCAACGGCGTCACTTCGATTGACATCTTACTCAAGTGAATCGTGTGGTTGAAATGGAGAATACAACAGACACATCGTGCAGTTGAGTCAAGTGAATCTCGCCTGTGCTGAAAAAATGGCGAATTGATGAAATTGGCATGCACCTCAGTATGATATCTCCCAAAAATGCATGATAGTTCACCTTCCTGACACTACGTTAAGAAATTAATCGGCATGCCCTTCCTCGTCCTCAAGGAATCCTCTAGTATATCGACCATCCGAATACCTTTCTGCACGAAGCATTCTTCAAGAAGAATAATTCCTTCTCTTCCAGTTCCTTGCTCAAAGGCACTCTGAGTCTCTCCGATGGCTCGCTGTAGAGTCCCTTTAACATCAACCAAACATAAAAATATTGAGATAATCATAGACTCTTTAATTGTCACAAAACTCATGAAACATCAAGAGAAAAAAAAGAAAACAAACGTGGAAGGAGTAACAGGGAGCTAATTTTATAGACAAAACAGTAGAATCAAGGTTTACTTACCTACAAAGCTAGTTTTCCCAGAAGCTGCAGGCCCAATTAAAGCAATTCGAATCAAGTCGATGTCGTCAACATCTAAACCCCTGAAGGATTCTTTCATGACCCTTGGGCAAGCATGAAAGTTATAATTCACAAGTTCACTTCTAGGTTTGATCAACCTCTCTTCTTCCTTTCTTTTCTCTATTTCCTTGCTTGATGATTGGCCGTGATCCATCACAAGTAGATCTCTTGTCCTTCAACGCTGAATCGGACATTAGCTCAACGTAGCCTTAAAAAACATAGAAATAAAGCAATCGAATGAATACAAAAAGACCTTTACAAATCAAAAAGGTACAAAACTCTCTACCCTCCCCTCCCCTAGTTCACTTTCGGCCAAACAAAACTGCAATTTCGTGACATGAACTGCTACTAGATTTTCGTTATCATTACACCGAATGTTTGTGAATAATACACTTGTAAATGGCACTTTGCATACTCTAATATTCACAATCAACACCGGAAGTCTCACATAAATTTTAAAACGACCTTTGCTGGTTCGATCGATAGCGAGCGAAATTGGTTGGCAATCGATAGCGGCATATTTTCTCTGAGTTTTCTTTATGGTTCAAAACAGTTCGAACCATTCATTTCTTAACAGGGTGTCGTGTGTTCTTTAAATTCCGAATGCGTCTTCTCTGACCTAAGAATGCCTAGATTTATCGGCGAGGCAAGGTCACAAGTCATTGATAAACACACATAAATCATATTACTTGAAATGTACTCTATCAAAACGTCGATATTCTGTGACTTACGTGAAATCATAAATTGGAATCTTTGTTTTCTATTTCGGAAGCAGTTACGCTCGTGGTGTTGCTTTTATCCAGGTCTTTAGTGCTCGCTGCTCCGTGTAAATCAACCGCTTCATTCAATTCAAAAAATTGTTGACCTTAGTCGCTATTCAATATTCCTGTGGTCACGCACTGCGATGGTATCAACCGATTCGAATTCGTCAAAGGAAAAAAAATTGTCAATGCCGCCAAAGAAATGCAAGTTTTGAGAAGATGGAATATCTGTAAAGTAGACGAAGGTAATCTTGGATGAATCTCCTTTTATAGTGAACTTTTCTGCTAAACTATTTCGTAAGGAATCTATCAAAATCATGTGACATTCTTGGATTTCAAGAATTAGCTATCTTAAGGGATTTATTATTTTGCCGTTTCATAGAACTGTGCAAGACATTCATTACTGCCGCAGGAGAACTCAGTTGTATTGCTTGCCGGTAAGTCTTTCCTAAAGATATCAGTCGATACGATTTCGTGTTGGAGACTCATAATTTTGACTAAGTCAACTTAACCGGGTGAAAATTGCGAGTCTTGACAATTAATAAATGAAACCCGAATTCAATTCGTCTTTTAAACCCAAGTTTTTTATACGAGAACATGTGCGATAAGAATTGCAAACTAAACCAAAGAGCAGTTTACGTCTGAGATTTACGACTGGATTGAACAACTTAAATTCTTGAAAATTCAGGAAATGTAGTATTGAAAATTCAGAAATTTTCAGAGTATGGTCCAAGGGAGCTGGTAAACCTTTTTCTTTCACACATCATGGTGTAACAAAAAACTAATACCCGTTATGGTGGCTATGGAGAAAACTCCTGTGGCTTTTACTTCTAAACGTTGAACAATATCAGTTTGCAGGTTAACATTGTTCACCTTCACTTGGTTATATAGTATCCAAAAAGATACTGAGCGTACATCCGTACATGCTGAGACATGAATGCATTTCAGTGAAGATGGTTTAAGTAAACGTGCGAGAAGCAAAAAACTATATATTTTTCCAATATGAAACTTGAAGTTCTACGTTGTTCACCTGGTGCTGCATTTGACTTAGAAATCGGAGAAGGCCTGGGTTATAACCTGGGTTAATCAGATTCCTGTTTGTCTCTGAGCAAGAGCCACTTAATTACAAAAATAAATTACATCTGGACAATTACTCATGATAATTGCATTGCTATGTGTCAACGCTATGATAAGTCACGTAAAACGAGAATGTCTCTATACTGAACGAAAGAAGAAAACATACGTAGCCAACAAAGTGTTTCCGAACAACTGAGAAAAGCTTCCGAAGTACAACAAAGTACTTTGGAATATTCTTAGTTCCGCCGTGGCTCTAGAGAGAAAATTGTATTAAATCATATGATCAACTGAGTTATTTTGAGCACAGCATGTGATCGATTCAATATTCGAGAGGCCGGCGCGGCCGCTTTCTTCCTTGTTTCATTGAACTGCATGGAGTTTGCACTTTGGCCGAGCGGAAGACGTATTTGACTGGCTTCAAAAAGTAAGTCCTTCTCAAACCGATAGATATGCGAACTACCCAGAACCTCCGTCTACGTATTCTGTAGTTGGCTCGCTGCTTTTGCGATGATATATTCCAAAAGGCGAGTCGAACGTAATTTCGACTCGAAATATCGGGGATCGGTGCCAACTTGGGTCGTTTAATTCGAATCTATAGTACCATTTTTACCACGAAAGAAGTATGAAAATTTAGAGGCAGTACTAGTTTTCATGTTCCAAACTATAGCGCCTATTACCAAAATCCTGCAACATGACGGTAAACTTCGTGGATGACTTGGATCACCTCGTTTCACGGTTACGTGATTGTTATGGTTCAACTTTGACGACAAATTTGCATTTTGTAAATACTTTCACGTTCGGTCAAAAGCAGCAAAACACTGATTTGTAAATGAGAATAGTTGTCGCTTATCAGATAAATTTAGACACCTCCATAAATACTCATTTAGATTTTGTCTAGTGATAGCATGTTGCGACAAATCCGCAGTTTAAACGACCCGCTGTATACTGAGATTTTTCAAAGTTTTCAGCTGAGGTGCCTAAGGGTAGCGGTTTGTGTCAGGAGTATATCTCTCTTTGAGAGCTAACGATCTTCAAGTTTAAGGCTGTGTCAAGGATGTTAAGTTGAAATGAAGGGTAAACCAAAGCCGAGATATGTATTAATCTTTGGGAAGGGCAATCTTGTTATATTTTCATTACCAATGCGAACTTCCACCCGCTTGAAGTAAAATTTGTTAAATATTGTGACCTATACCGTCTCAAAATGCATTCATACCAACTGTTGCGCGCATTCATCGTAGATGGTTTTACTATGAAAACTAATTTTACTCCTCTCGTTGGTAAGTGACGCAAAACAGATCACTTCTCGGTTCTGTACACGCTCGAATAAAGATGCTAAAAACTGTAGCCATATTATCGAATGATGAGTTACACAAGACTCTTTACAAGAGGGATACTTATGACTTAAACACAGTAAATTTATTTTATACCTGTACATGTACAAATTTAATTATCATTGATGACAAGCACAAGCGTTACATCTGCGTGACACAGGTACAATTCAAAGCGTTTTTCCGTCTCGGTTGTCTAGCTCCAACAAAGACTGAATTCACGTGATTCAAGGCTGAAGTCCATGCACACGTGAGGCACAAATACTCCACGTGAAACAAGCACACATCCCTGTGTGATGATTGATGTTCTCACAGCTTCTCAAGAAAAAAATTGCGAAATAATATCAGGCGGTTTAGAAATAGATTAATACCCAAGTGACTTCGCGTTAGCCTATTACTTGTCTTAAAACTCGAATTATATCAGAAATGCAATTTCATCGACAATTTGTCTATGCCTCAATTGACATAATGATATTGTTTGTATGCTATTATCATACTTCCAGACAGATTGCATTTCAAGGTTAGAGCTGGTGACAAATCGAAACATGGGGGTAAGCTATACAATTAGCATTTATCTGCCAAATATTCAGAGCTTTTACTCAAAACATCCTTCTTTCTTTTTTTAAATGATTCTTTGAAACTCTAACATTAGAAAGTTTTAGCCTAAAAATATAGGTCTTGCCAAGATGCGAGTTCCCAATAGGGTCAGCTAGAAACCATACAGGCTTAAAATGGAGTAGAAGTTTGAATGATGGATAGCTCTTTTCTCTTTTCACTGGATGAATTGTCATTCGGCCAAAGTTGTCGAGAAACAGATTTCATTAAAAGGATGGGTTTTAAGATATAATGTTACTTGATTTCACTTAGATTTGCGGTTCCCGTGCCAGGCCTACCAACTATGCGTACGTCACTAGCAGGGATAGTTACGAAGGGGAGGCACAAGAGAGAAATGTTCCACGACTGGATGATAAGCCAACGCAACAAGGACAGAATGAAGGAGGAGAAAATAACCACAATGAACGCGAACAACAAGCAGGGAAAGAAATAGACCAAGGGGAGGCGAGAAGGAGAGAGGAAGAGTTAAAAAAGTTGCAGCTTGAGGGCAACCTTTACCGAAAAAAATTGGTTGGTTATAAATTCGGAGTGAACACTGGACAAAATAAGAACCTGTTTACCAATATCACCCAATTAAGGATCGGGGTATTTGGCCCCACGGCTTCGGGAAAGACCAGCTTCGTCAACACGTGCGAGAGAGCTTTAAGGGAAACCGAAGAAGGACATGCGTTAGAAAGTACTCCCGGAGATGAGTGGACCACTAGACCCCAGGACTATCTGCCAGAAATGTTCTTCCACTTGGTTGACACAATAGGTTTCTCCAATTTTGATTTTAATGAATCTGCTGAGTTTAAGAACATCTTGAATGGAAAAATACAACCTGGTGATGCTATCGCCCATCCTTCTGATCGACAGATCTATCTACAGAAGTTAACGAGATTCCCATTGTTTGAGAAACGAGTTCATGGAGTCATTATTGTTGTTAAGGCAAATGACCCTCGGCTAACTAATGGAGAATTTAAAGAATACCTGCAGCCAGTTAGAGATATACTTCGAAATAGAGGTAATTTCCTACCAATTTTTCCAACCGAGATTTTTCCACCTTGTTCATTAACGTTTTATTCCAAGACATGTCGTCTTTCCTCGATGACTGCCGATCCAATTTCTCGATCAAAATCGTATTAATCCTATAAACTCTAGAGAAATATTTTGAGATTGCACTAGTTGGTACGCGAAAGAGGAAACAAGGGTTACATTTTTCTTTGTTTGTTTGTTTTTTTTTTTCACACAAGGAATGACACCTACCACAGTCGTCACGCATTGTGACACACTGCAGACAGAAGAGAATAGTATGACCGCCCTCAACGAAGCTTCAGAAGCTGTAGGAAGTTCTCCCAGTAGCACATACTTGATCAGGAACTATACCAAAGAAAACAGGACACGTGACCTTGAAATTGAGCTTATGGCACTTAAGATTCTGCACAGTGCAGTGATAGGAGCTGAGAGGGCAGTCGCAAAGATCGTAACAGGGACAGGTTTGTTGAGCAATTGTCTGGTTGATAGATTGGGAGACTGACTAATTCACTGAGTGACTGATTGACTAATTAACTTGCTAGTTTTATTTAACATCTTTCCTCTGTAGATGGCTTATGCTTGTGTTCGATTCTTGGGCTTACAATGCATACGCAAGTGTAAACACTAATCATCCGAACTTTTGCCCTGTATCTATCCTTTATTCCTTTCAAACTATTTAATTTCTCCTTAGTACCTCGAGAGATTCTTCAACGCGCACCGATGGCGTTTGAAGCTCACGATAAAGCCCACAGTGAGGGATCCACTGTCGTTAAAAGAGTTCCCATCATATTCATTGGACAGCACCGTTCTGGAAAAACTAGCGTTAAGAACTCACTCAGGGGCCAACCTTTCAAGGTAAATGAAGATAGCATTGCTGGGAAAGATGAAAATTCCTCTTCGTTCAAAATGTCTCGTGAGATTTGGAAGGTGGGAGAGAAGGACAAAGACGCTAATTATGATTCAGCATTCTCTTTTGAGCATCATCTTGCGCGATCCACCGTTCAATATTTGAGATACAGAACAATTGAATTGGAGCCACGTGGAGCCATTTCCTCAGAAAGCTCAAACCCAAAACACATCAGCAACAGCCCAGAATCTAAATTTACTGCTTCTGATGTGACTCACACAGAAATTCATGACCCTGATATGACAACCGAGATGCCGAAAGATCATCAGCCCGGTGAAAAGCCGGAATCTTCAGAGAATTTCACAAATACGGCACATGGTGTCAGCGACGATTCAAAGTCAGAAGAATTTCTACGCTCCTTGACGGAAGTTTTGCTGCAAATGGAAGTGGAGGAAGAAGACTTATATTCTATGCTGTGGGACTTTAATGGAGAGTCAATTAACCATACAACATATCCAGTTTTTCTGACTCACAAAGCAGTCTACATATTGGTTTACGATCTTAGCCAGAATGCAACAGCGATCGCCAAACCCGTCATAAAGCAAGGGCGGTACAGAGAGAGAGAAGACAGCCACTTCTCAAAAACAAATTTAGATTACCTCAAGTTTTGGATGTCTTCTGTTGCCTCCTCAGCCAGCCAACATGTAAATAATCCATCAAATTCTATATCAGAAGTACTACCGGAAAAGCTACCCCCAGTACTCTTGGTGTTCACTCATGCAGACACGCTTGGGGACGATGTTGACGCTAGAAAAATTGTAAGAGACGTTTATGGGTCCTTAAAGCAGACGCCGAGTGGAGTCCACTTGTACAAAGATTTCTTTGTCGTTGATACTACAAAATCTGGTCAAGAGTTTGAGTGTTCGGAGATCGTGCGCTTGCGAAAGGAGGTACTTGCTGTATGCAGTGAATTGCCACAGCTGAGAGAAACTATTCCAATCCAGTCGTTAATATTCGAAAAAGCAATCCAGAAGAAGAAAGAAGAGGGTCATAAATTTGTTTCCCTCGAGGATGCCAGACTACTTGCGTTCGAAGAATGTAACATTAGTGACGAAAAACAGTTCCAGAGAGCAATCAACTTTTTGCATGACCAAAGAATTTTAATTCACTTTGATGAGACTCCGGAGCTAAATAGATTAGTTATCTTGGATTTTGAGTGGTTACTCAACGTGTTCAAGGGAGTAATGTCAGTCAAGTTATATGAAGGGTCAGAGAACATTTTTGAACATCTATGGCGAAAGCTTGAGACGGAAGGAATCCTGGAGGAAAATCTCCTAGAATATGTCTGGGGCCCACTGCATGACAAGCAAAACACTTACGAGAGTCTTCTCGCAATTATGGAGAAGTTCAGCTTGATTTGCCCTTTGCCCTCGCTTGATCATTCTTGTGGTAAGATGTATCTTGTGCCATCCATGTTAATGTCTTATCCCACAGAGGGTATTACAAGTCTTGTTGCAGCTGCACGAATTCCTCCTATTTTTCTCACATTTGAGTCTGGTCAAGTTCCCTCTGGTTTGTTTCTCCGAATTGCCTTCCAATTGGTTCAGTGGAACAGAAAAAACAATCCAAACTCAGCAAACTTCAACTTTTATAGTAATTATGCCAGATTCTATCCATCAGTAAAGGAGAAATGCTCTGTGATCCTCCGGTGTTATTCGTCTTACATTGAAGTTGTTGTACATGGAAATAATCGCAATCATGAGTCCGAGGATGGTTCACGCTCAGAGTTGGATTTGCGGGGACAGGAGTCCTTAGATGAAAATTGTGCTCGAGCAGTGCGCAGGCAGCTGGATGTGATAGTTAATTCCATGCATTCCAAGTTCTTCTGGCCGAAGAACACGACGTGCAGAGTTAGCTTCATGTGCCCAATTTGTTGCCAGAACGGTGGAATAGTTGAACGATGTAAATTTCACCTTGAACAAGGTTGCAAGCAAGAGGAGTGCTTGCATTTTTTGTCTGAGTCTGAAATTTGTAGTGCAGACATCATTTATTGTACCAGGAATGCTGTGGCACAGGAAATAAGAGTTCGAAAAGAGCAGTTTGAGCCCTGGATTAAGACCATATCACAACAGGTATGCTATTTACGCGAGTTACCGACTCGTTCAATTTTAATTATGAGTTAAATTGTATTATCTCCAGACTTTCACGGAATGATTAGATGAGTACTTAAGCTGAAACTTCTAAAATCCGAAGATAAATCAATTTAAATTTCAATATCTTAATTTCGATCCATTATCTTGATCCACAGGAAACAAGTGAAGAACCAGTTGAGGCACAAGTTTCTTTAGAACAAGAAGGTAGTAACAGCTTATGTTTGTTTTCTCCCATTTTAAATCATTATCCGTCATCTCTGCTCTTTATATTCGCAGCTTGAAAAGTTTTCCCAGACCTTAAAGATCAAAGCATTACCCCAACCCTAAGTTCAAGGTTCTTTACCAATATAACTCATTTTTTCCAAATCGCCCTGAAAACTAGGAGAAGAAATAGTTCCCCAAGACCTTCCTCCTGAGATTCAAGACTTCCTTGCATTACCGTTACGTGATACCCGGGGCGTATGTTTTAAAGATCTTCATGAACTCAAAGCAATTTTGAAGACGGACCCAGCTTTCCCTAGACGTTCAGACCCAAAGACAAAGAAAAGGATCCGTTCGCTAGCAAGGGAGTCTGTAGCGAAAAAGCGGCACGACGTGTTTAAACATCTAAGAAAAATTACACCAGCTGGATCTACTGGTGAGTCTTTAATTTGATGCCGATATTATTTGAAAGCATCCACCTCAAATAGGTGCCCCTGGAACACTAGCTTCTGATTGGGCGTTCACCTTACTTGTTAAGTCTAGCCTTTTCCAAGCAGGACATTTTTCAAGGGTAAAAGGATCGAAGGCACTTGATAAAAGAATTGAACTTTCTGACCCCACAACAGCTAACTTTTATTTCTTAGGTCCTTCTATGCCTGAAAACACCGACGTTCGTAACATTTCTTATCGTCGGAAGAAGAGGCTTACAGAAGCACTGAGTGGTGAGTCAGACATAATACTTGTATGAAATGGATATCTGAAAAGAGAAAGCAGTTGTGCCAAGGAGACCCGGCCATTGTCTCACATCTCACTTCTCTCTTATCATTTTTAGTTTCTGGTGAACAGAGGCAAACGAGGCGGGGCAGGGAAGGGGAGCTGTTTAAACCACTCCCTAACTCCCACCCTTTAAGATTTAAGAAAATTTAAGACTTAATCAGTAAAAAAATGATTGGAAACGAGCATTTTTTTGCCAAACTTTTTTCTCTCCTGCATTTAGGTGGACAAGACTGGAAGTTGCTGGCCGAAAAACTTGGTTTACGCGCTGATGAAATTCGATTTTTAGACTTCCGCCTTAAAGATCCTTGTGAAGGGGCCTTAAACAGAGTTGCTGCCCAGGGTTCCCTTAATGTTAGTGATCTGTACAACTACTTAGTCGAGCTTGGTTATCCTCTAATAGCTGACGAACTGTAAAGCAAAGATACTTATCGTACATCTCAATATCTTAGACTTAATGTGTGTTTTTACATTCTGCTGAAACAATTTTCTAACATTTTAAGAATGTCCGTGTAAAACGTATTCGGCAAAGTTCTCGTTTTAGATTAAGCCTTTGAAAACATTCGCTGTATATCTTTTGCCGAGGCACTCATAACCTGCGATGATGCTCTCCTTGGTAGCGTGGAGGGGATTCAGTAGTTTGTCAGCATAAGATCACAGCCGTTTGTTTGCAAACGCGATGTTCTTTTAAGTCATTCTTCATGTACCTAAAGCGATATGTGATGCATAATTAAACTAGACGCTGAAAGCGTTAATTTGAGCCTGATCGAGGAGTATATAAGGAATGAGGGGCGAGTTATTTCCGATTAAAATGTATTTCTAATTTAGTTCACTATATGCGACACAATATAATTACTGTGTAGTAAAAGAAATATTGTCATTTCTTTTAAAGCTTTGACTCTTCTACTGTTCTAGTCTTAAACTGAAACATTCATAGTAATAAAAAAGTACTCTGCTTTAGCTTCTCCTCGACCACGGTCAACTAAACGGAATAATAAGACCATACAGTATCATACAAGTTTTACTGTCACTCTTAGCTTTTCAGCTGTGACATTACATGACAAAATGACACACCACCTTATTTACAGGTGTTCACATAAATTAAATTACATTTTTAAGTAAATACTATAACATATGAATAAATATTTTAGAATTCACAAAAGCCATTTAGGTCAGGATCATAAAATACAATCTAAAATAATACTAACAATGGCATAACAATAGTGTGAAAAGTAGGGTTAAAATGCCTAAAAAGGTCAATTTTCTTGAAACCCCTTTTTGAATAATTCCCTACATATTTAAAAGCTGTCACCTCTCTCTGTAAATATGCTTATAATCTAAGTTTAACCAGAACTTACATCGTACCTGCTCAACTAGAGGCAAAAAAAAATGACCTATTATTTCCATCAACTTGAGTTTAAAGTCATTAGGCTCGGGCTCATTGTCTCTGAAGCCATTTAAACCACTTGGATTTTAGAACTAAATTGACACCTCACTAGCTAGAGAGGGTAATCAGGCAGTCTACAACTTCCAGTTGGAGTCAAACTTTCCGAAGAGGACCTTAGCTTTCGATGTTTTCAATAAACTAAGTCTTACGTTTACGTTACCTTAACGTCAACCAGATTACTATTTGAGTACTGACTTTCACCAACCTAAAAAGTTCTTAAGAGATATACATGGTTCTAGCATATAATTATTTACAAAAGGGTGAAGGCAGGGAGGGGTTTATGGGTTCTTGCCGCTTGTTTCAAATAATGAAATAACTTTTGCGCTTCAGTTCTCGAGTTCATTGGGCTGCATTTCAATATCGTTATCTTAAAGAAACAGATTGTAGACACGGTCAAACATCCCGGTCATCATGTGCCAAAAATATGTTGTCATGTCATAAACGACCTACATGTTGGAAACCTCTCTTGTTAAAACGGTCAAGGCGCCTGTCTCCTCCATACGGTAGACTATCACTTCAGCTTTTGCCACATGTTGTAGCTGCTCAGTTATATGTGGTAGAAATCCACCCGGCGGTATCCATCGCGGGTTCATTACTATCTCATCGTCTCTATAGGAGAGGTAGCCATTTCGCACTAAAGATTTCATCACAAGCGTCCCATGTTTTGTTCTGCCGTTCATTTGCTCTTCCTCGGAAATCCCTGAAAAGTTTAAAATATCGCTTAAACGTGTTGTGTTCACTAAACATACGACAAGAAAATTGGTTTTCATGAGGTAGAGAACATTAAATAACAAATGTAAACGAACTGAGAAACTAGAACCTCTCTGAGATTGGAAGTATATTATTTCAGACAGCATTCAAAAACCGAAACTTGCGTCGGCCTAGGTTAATACTCTCAGAAAAGGAAGATGCTGTGTATAACATTCACAGTATCTTAAATATGTAAGGACCTCAATCCACCCTCTGGACGAGGAAAAACATTTCACACGAGCTAGACCCCTAAAGCGTTACAATGGAACAAACATTGTCATCTATATTTCCTAGCCAATGAAATCATATAAAAAAATAAAATCGTCAAAATCATCTCTCTCAATATAACTAAACTGAAATATCCATATAATAAAGACTTATTTGAAAATCGGTAATTCTAGAAAAATCTAACTACATGTGACGGAGATTTCATCGAAGTATTCATTAAAATAAAGAAAAACTTGTGTCAACTCAAAATAAAAACAAATCTATCAATAGCTTAAGGTAAAATTAAACACATCGATACTCTCAAATAGTTGCTTTATTCCTCACCAGCAAGGTCATCTTTATTTACCACAACATATCCATCGCTGTTTATTGTGCCAATATCGCGTAAATGAGAAGTCAACACATCTTTTGTTTCCGTTGCCTTCCTCGAAGCGATTTTTCTGGTACAGTCTTCCGAGAGTCCATTCCCGTCATCTTCAAGATCTTTACTCTCTGTGTCCTTCTTCCTTTCTTCTTTTAATTTATCTCCTTTGTCATAATATCCCGCCTCCGACTCTGAAATATTTAATATATCCGTTACGCGAGAAGAAAATTGGTTTTCATGAGGTAGAGAACATTAAATAACAAATGTAAACGTACTGAAGGACTAGAATCTCTCTGAGATAGGAAGTACATTATTTCATACAGCATTCAAAAACTGAAACTTACGTCGGCCCAGGTTAATACTCTTAGAAAACGAAGATATTCTGTATATAATTCACACTATCTTGAATATGTGAGGACCTCAATAAATCCGAAAAATATTTCACACAGACTAGACCCCTAACGCATAATAATGGAAGAATATTGTCTTCTATATTTCCTAGTTAATAACATCAAATGAAAAAAAATCGACAAAATCACCTCTCTTAATCGAACTAAATTGAAGCATCCATAAGATAGATACTTACTGGAAAATCGATAGTTTTAAATCTAACTAGACGTGACGGAGATTTCATCGACGAATTCATAAAAATATAGAAAAACTTGTGTCAACTCAAAATAAAACCAACCCATTAAAAAAGAAAAATTAAACGCATCGATATTCTAAAATAGTTACTTCATTCCTCACCAGTAAGGTGATCCTTATTTACGACAAAGCCATCGCTGTGTATTGTGCCTGTATCGTGTGAATGAGAAGTCAACACATCTTTTGTTTCCGTTGCCTTCCTCGAAGCGATTTTTCTGGTACAGCCTTCCGAGAGTCCATTCCCGTTATCTTCAAGATCTTCACTCTCTGTGCCCTTCTTTCTTTCTTCTTTTAATTTATCTCCTTTGTCATAATACCTCGCCTCCGACACAGACGTTTGTTTGTTTACTTCTTTCTCCGCTGAACTGTGCGCAATATCCATTGCATGTGGATGATCTGTAAACTGCACATGCTCTTTCGCTCCTGGCTTCTCAGTCACGGGTGTCTTGTGGAGAGTTTCCTGAGGCACTCCTGGCTGATCATTTGGCTTCCAATCAAACTTCTGTCCACTCTTTCTTTCTTCTTTCAATTTATCTTCTTTGTCATAACACCTCATCTCCGACACAGACGATTGTTTGTTTACTTCTTTCTCCGATGAACTTCGTGCTATATCCCTTGCATCCGTAAATTGCTCGTGCTCTTTCGCTTCCGGCTTCTCAGTCACGGGTGTCTTGTGAAGAGTTTCCTCAGGCACTCTTGGCCGATCATTTGGCTTCCATTCAAACTTCTGTCCACTCTTACTCGGGTCAAAATAATGCAATAGCGCTTCCTCGTGAATCTTTCGGTAAGTTTTGTTCCACGAAAAGATGAAGCTTTTCCTTCCGTCAACAAACTCGTCTTTAAACTGAGGGAAAACCTTTCTCTTGGCCCAACGTGATATCACAGATGATTCTTCTTCATCTTGATTCTTGTAGTTATCGTCTCCGCCAATAACAACTATAACCTTTCCATCTGGTTAAAGGAAAAAAAGAACGATTGATCATTCGTTTAGGCTTTTGAAAGTCAACTGCTTAAGTCACGTCGCCGACTCCAATGTAGCAATGTTCATCTTTAAACTACAACTTAAAATTACTTCTGGGAGAAATCTTAACGCGCATTGGTCACCAGTAAATGATATCATGTCTTCGTTAAACATTTCTGGCAAGAACTTAAAATCATTACGAATTTTTTTAGCAACTATGGGCAAAATAGAACTACTGTTTGAAAAACATAAAAGAATACGTCATTGATTTACCAGTGGCTCGGAGTAAGGCTTTATAGATCTTCGCATAACCAATTCCAGCATTTCCTCGTTTATGGAAAGACAAGGTTCATTTGCATGAACCACAAAAAAGGCAACATCCATCTGTAGTTTAGGAATGGCCTTTTCAGCCACGTGCGACATTTCAGAAAGGCGAAAACTTGTCTTGACGATGTCGAAGCTAAGTTGTTGTCTGATGTCGCCTTTCATGTTAAGAAGCAATTTCTCCACCGAGTCTAAACTGTACAATTTGTCGCAATTAAAAAGAAAGACACGTTTGCGACATTCTGTCCTCGCGTTCTGATGTGGTTCATCATCAATTGCGTCTGAAACACTTCGCTCTAATCCGTTCTGTTCATCCATGTTGACCGCTGTTTACCGTGAAAATAAAAATGTCGTTACGAACGACATTAGAACGTCACGCGAACAGATAGGAAGTGCGTGACACCGAGCGGTTTGGTTTCCTTCAGCTTACGTTAACGGTGGCAATAACTAACTTTGTTCATTCCGAGTGATTTAGCTCCGAGTGACTCAATATTTCTTGGATGTTCGATGACATAATTTTGGAAATTACTTTATACACGACAAACCAAAAGGCAACCTAAATTTCTCAGTTATTCTAACTACTGTTACTTATGCGTTGCATGAAATTAGCATGGGATTTCCGATAGTTGTTTCGATCTATTTCGAAGTTTTGACAACGAATCTTACCCGAAAGAGCCTGAATTCTGATTTCTTGGTTGGAAACGGTTGTTTAACTCCTAGGTGCTCCTCAAATGTATCGCCAGTCTCCGACTTCTGTTAATCGCTAACCCATTTTACGATTTGATTGATCTCTTAAAAGTAAAAAGGTGATCAATCAAATCTAAGTAATCACTTTTTTATAAAAATATATTTTTTATATTTTTTTTCTTAAAAGTTAAGTTCTTACATGAGGGACAACCTAATTATGGCTTCGGTCACGTAAACGGTAACGGAACCTCTCTATATTAGTTAAGGAAAGGGATTTTTGTGGTGATCGGGCTCATTTTTACCCTCCTAGAATTTCGATACGTGATGCATAATTAAACTAGACGCTGTTGAAAGTGTTAACTTGAGCCTGCTCGAGGAGTATATAAGGAATAACGGGCGAGTTATTTTCTTGGTGGCATC